GACGAAACGTGGGTTTACGAGTTTGACATGCAAACTAGTCAACAAGCTACGGAGTGGCGCCTTCCAACTGAACCGAAACCAAAAAAACAGCCCCAAAGTCGATCAAAAGTGAAAGTCATGTTGACTGTTTTCCTATCCCGGTGTTATGCCCTCGGAATTCTTGCCGGGAGGTCATACGGTAAATAAAGAATATTATTTGAGCGTTATACGGCATTTAAGAGGGCAAATTCGACGAAAATGGCCAGATTTGTGGAAAGAAAATTCTTGGATTTTGCTCCACGATAATGCGCCTTTTTTTGACCCAATACTCATCAAATACCATCGAGCAACCACCATATTCACCAGATACGGCTCCAGCCGACTTCTTTCTTTTACCTAAACTCAAATTACCACTTCGTGGCACCCGTTTTCCATCGGTAGAAGACATAAAGGTGATAAAATAAATTTGGATGAGTAACAAACATTTTGAGTATTTTTAATCTTTGCCCGGTACTTTCTTGATAGTGTAGTATAACAGGCATGAAGTATAAACACTTGTATCATATTATTTCTTAGTAGAGCATTTAATTTATTAATCAGCATAATTAGGTGTCAGGTTCGCGTTTCTCCTACCTAAGTGTTTTTTGCTTAATAAGCAGTTCTTGTTACAATAACATCAGTATTACCTACGCGAATATAAAACATACTTATTTAAAACGATATTAAGTTTCATAATTGAATTTAGCACAATTAACACCAACCATACAATACAGGTTGATGTATTATTAAATTGAAATTATCCAGTAAAGGTGGTTTTTTTAGGGTTCCGTACCTTAAAAGGTAAAAAAGGAAGCCATATAAGATCACTTTCTTGTCCGTCTGTCTGTCTGTCCGTCGGTCCGTGTGTTACGCGAAAACTTGTAAGTACCAAAATTTACCTTAATTGTTAACTTTTTTTTTTAGAAAAAATCTCTCTACTTGTGCTGTAAGACCTTGCTTTTAACCAAAATTTACAATTCTAGGTCAACCGGAAGTACCCTATAGGTTGTAGGTAAATTTTGGTACTTACAAACGGACCGGAACCCTCGGCGCACGAGCTCAACTCGTACTTGATCGGTTTTTTACAATAGAGGGGGCAGACGAGCAGACGGGTCACCTGATGGAAAGTAATCAGGCTGCTCAGGAGTACTAATGTTAGCCAATGTTACTAATTGCCTGTTAACTACTTTGTGTATAAGAAATTGTTAATAAAATCGTTCGGCATTATTCTTTACGATTCGAAAACTTTTTTAATTGTAATATAGTACTGCATGTTACTTACAACGTATTGGTTCATGAATAATAACCTTCGAAATTTACATCGATTTTAAATAAATATAAGAAAATTATTATCTTATTGTGATTGTATTGTATCGTGTTATTGTAATTTCATTAAAATCCATTTAAATAACTTTCATTTCATAATTTACGTTTCCGTCTTACTACTCGTAGTAAACCAGAAACAGAAGCTTTTCTGGAGTCTTTTGTGTGATTAATGTCCCTTCACTAATTTTATGGAGTAAAAGGACATATTATTAATGGTAAATATTATCTTAGTTAGGTAAGTTCAGGTGGGGTTAGAGGGACGAAGGGCAAAGAAAAACAGTCGCTATAAATACAAAACTCAATGTCAAAACCCTATCGATAAAAAAGTATTCAGTGAATAGTTTGAATTTTTTAACACAAAGATGGCGTTATGACTCGTTAAAGTGATTAACAAAGACAAAAAAAACTCAGTTGACAATCTACACCACGCGTGATTACATTGAAATAATTTTTATGTAATTTTATAGAGCTAGATCGTTTTGGTATTGGTATGTAACTATTTCTATGTTTAATTCCAATTTTGAATTTGTTTAAAACACTCAATTTAAAGAGATTTTTCACGAGTTCAAAAACATAATCGCAAAATTACTTGGTGGGGTAAGATAAACTGTCACAGCAGGGAAAGAGGAACATGTGATCCTCTTAGGAGAAAAATTGATGGCAGAGGTAAGAGCTGTAAAAAGTGGGGCTTTGTCAACAAGTGGGGATTTTGTTTGAGCAACTATTATAAATCGCGTTTATGACCGTAAAGGCTTAAAGTTATTAGACTTTAGGCCATAGAGAAGAGCAAGTTTTTAAAGCTCTGCAGTATTATTGAAGAATCGGGAATTGAAACAATATCTCACCCACTTTACAGCTCTAAGACTGGTTAGGGGGATGTAAATTTGTATAGAGAGTGATGGAGAGTATCTTGAAAAAGTATAATATAATTTGTAAATATATGTATATTGTTTACTTTTTGCGTGTGTCAAAACTTATATAGTGACCTACGTATTATTTTCATTGAGTGAGACTGAACAAAAAAGGCTGACGTTTAGGCTAAGTAAACATATTTACTTGCGTAAATAACATAAAGATATTAAAGTTTTGTTAGTTTTCTAGAGTTATTACCCCGGAAGGGTGAAACTATTTTTGAAATGTCGTTGTAAATGTATAATACTACCTGATTTCAAGCACAGAAAACTCTAACTATACTAGTACCTAGTTAAAAAAGCTAATTACCAGTTTTAGTCTCGTCCAGCTAAATTTTTACCACACCCTGTACTTGATGAATTGATGATGTTTGCACACGTGTAGTTTTGTTTTAGTTTAACAAATATTCGATGTATGCGCAGGTTTCATTTTACATAGCATACAATTTTATTATGCAAACATTACAATCATTGACCTCGATGGCAAAAAAAATGCACATTTTTAACAATTATAAGTTTGATATACATGAATATCAATCGGCGTTATGTATTTATAGACAACATTTCATATCCACGTTATTTTATCGTTTGTTTAGTAAATCATGGATTTCCATAACTTAAACATGGATCTGGCTGGCCTGTTGGTTTAGTGGTTAGTGACCCTGACTGCTAAACATGAGATCGTGGGTTCGATTCCCACCCAAGACAAATAATTGCATGATGAGCACGATAATTTGTTCTGTCTGAGTGGAATTTATGTATGATGTGATGTATGAATAATATTGTATAAATTTAGAAATAAGTATGTTTAACAGTAGCCTGGTAATCATTGCACAGGCTTTGCTAGAATGCGATTAGACAAGAAACAATAAATAAACAACTAACTTAATACTACAAAATGCTCGGACTCTGAGCTAAACGTTTATCAATACTGTATACAATGTACTTTTACCTACTATAAATTTAATACGCCTACTACATATATGTAAGACATAGACTATGCAAGACTTGTAACATTTAAAGGGGAAGGTCGAATCAGACTTAGGTCTTAGGTAGAGAATTAGGTCAACAGATCGAGGCAGTATTTCAATTCCGCCCGCCGCCTCCAACTCTATGAGGCACAAGTCCGGCCGCATATGGAATCATGTTCTCATTTCTATGCAGGAGCACTTCCAATACGACCTTCAAACCTTCAAGAAAAGAGCGTACTCCTTCCTAAAGTGATTCCTTAATTGCAGGCCTTCATGAGCGGCGGTAGTTACTGGCCATCAAGTGACCCGTCTGCTCGTTTGAACCCTCTTCCACCAATAAAATGTGTGAGAATTCCGATAGATGCATCATAAGCGCAGGTGAAATTGGAAGTGAACCTGTTAGAGCGCCATAGCGGATGGGAGTCATATAAACTGCCTTCCGATTCTTTATTTCTAAGAACTGGCACTGCCCTGAATTCGCTTAGCCCTCATTTGTTACTTTTATCAAGGAATACGTTACACAGGTATAAGGGTGACAATAGTGGATTCTTTGTTCGGTTTCCTACAAAGCTGTTACCATACCACCTAGCCATGAATTTGTTTTCGAATTGTTACCCGTATATCTGTTGAACACAGAAATATGTGTGACAGTAGTGCAATGATATTTCATATATAAAATCATTGCAGTAGTGTCTTTTTTTGTTCGGTTATCTATAAAGCTGTTACCATCCAAACAAAAGTTCTATCAAACATTGGGAAAGGGTAAAAAACTTCTTTACGAACTATGAATAATTTTAAAGATTTTTTTATTCGTAGGTCACAAATTAAATAAAGATTAAAAGACGAAGGCGATTTACGATGATGTAATTTACTTTACATAACATATGTTTGTCATAAACAACTAGAATAGTAAATACCTCTACGTAAATAAAATAGATAGATATGGTATAAACTCCCTAACAATCAATAAAGATAAAAGAAAACATTATTACATCTTAAAAAAAAAAAAATTAAGTTTGCGATTAAATATCTATCGGTTAAATGGAAAGTGAAAATTCTTAAATGACAGTAGATCTAAAATCTATAGTATCTAATCGACACAGAATAGTCAAGAGGTCCTTTAACTGTTCTGTGCTCATCGAGCGTTATATTTTTTATTAATATAAATTAGCAGATTTTCTAAAGAGCGCCATCTCTTTCTAAATATAAGAACTAGTTCGAGGTTACATCTATGGATAATGCTGTTGGTTTTGGTGCCTTTTAACCGACTTCATATCATTTTAATTTAATTCCTCAATGGACATGTAGATGGCGTATATAAAAAATGTTTCTAGTTATTAAATACATTTAATTAAAATACGGATTAGGCCAATTGCGTAGCAATTTTTAAAATATAATACCTATACAATAAATTAATAAACATTAACATAAAAAATAAATACAAATAGACACTAAAGTAAGTAATAAAATTCAATGACACATAGTTAAAAAAATATTTAAAATATTCTGACATTTATTAAAGATACAAACTTCAAAATATTTTAAAGTGTTATAGTATTTGTTGTACTTAATGAATTCCTGTTTGTAAATAAAATTTTGATATTTTCCTCGGTTTAGCGACACATACAAAGTATTATACAATATTATGGTTTTCCACATACTGTTGTAAAATTATAGGATTTTGTAAGAATTATGCTAGAGATCTATATCTAACGCACAACAGAACGTTATCAAAATTAATGTGATAATTCCACACACAACGTAATAAAATATAATGTCTTCGAAAACGGATAAGGAAAAATCAATTAGCATCGTGTTTCAAAGAAAACCATTATTGAACAGTATTAAAGTACAATCTGAGAGAAAATATAAACACCAAGGGAAGCATAGATTACTGACGAATGCGAGCCGTGGAAGTAATGAAACAATGCGGACCACATTCGCGGCCTGGCGGCCCGACATAAGCAGATCGAATGATCTTACAAATTTAAAATTTTCGCATCTTGTCAAAGCAGTGCAGATTGCGAGCGAGGAAGAGAAAACTAACACAGATAAATTCATTACCGACGTGGAGACTATGGTGACACGGTTCAGTAACGAATTTAAGAAATTTCAAAGTGTTATCGAGAATATTATCGAGAAATATCCTCAACTTCAGCTCAATGGAAATTAAGTTCTAATTTAGGCTATACAGTTACTGCAGGAAATCTCTTTACCCAAGTTCACCTAGTCTTGAGGATAAGAATACATACAAATTTACCCAGTTATTGTTTAAAAAACTATGTATTTTTCAAAAATTTATGTAAATGAAGATCAAACTGAGAGAAAAAGTGTGATGTTTACATACAACTACTATCAATGTCTAAAGTAATCCTCAAATATGGATTGAATTTTATCAACACAAACTTATCGATTGATCATTATGGAACAATAATAACCAGAGAATTTTATTTAAATTTAAAATATATATAAGGAAAGAATACACCAATAATTTTGGGATACTAAGGATATTGTTATTTCATTGTAAATCTTGCAGTTTTTCACTCAGTTATTGCAGTAATAAGACCAGACAAAATTTAGCCGGAATTTCTATAAAGCTATCGAAATAGATATTCTATATAGCTATATAATTTTAGATTTTTTTTTTAAGATGGTGATTGTTCTGTGAATATCGAATAATAAATTAATTATTGTGATGCAATGAGTGTTTTAGAAATAACAGTATTATTCCTTTTGAAAGGGTCCACTTGTAACTTGTATCCTAAAAATATGCACTTGGCTTGTAATTATAATATACTTACACAAGTGCCAATAAATTTTAGTACAAGTGATTTATCTCAAAACCGGACATCCACTCGGTAGACGTTAAATTGAGATGTGGCAGAAGTATTAAAATATTGTAAGTGATTAATGTGCCGCAATTCAAATAATTCACACACTTAGAACAATGACTTAAGACGCAATATGTTATAAGATTTTCTCTTAAAATATTTGCTCATAAATACTTTTACGCGTACGAAGTAGCGGGCACAGCTAGTAATGAATAAAATAGTTACTCCATAGGTATATTTAATAATATAAGAGAATATTGGGAGTTTTAGATTCCAATAAATAAGTCAAAATACCACAAAATGCCTATAAAAGAATTTGATGGTTATTGAAATAAACCAAAGCAATCTCATTATTGTGTTCAATAGGTTCTTTTTGTTAGAAGGGTTCTCCAGCTACAATAAAATTAATGAGATCGCAGCGGTATCGAAAACAAGACTGTTTTGTATTGTCTGTATCTAGATAAAAAAAAAATTAGTTACGCGCTTGTGGTCTCGAGAGCTAGCCAGTGCTTATCGTAACCCAAAGTTATTGTGATCCAGAGGGATTGTGTATGGGCGAGTTCTTTATTGCAACCATTTCACCGCCGCTGTTTAATATAGTCATTAAGAAAAGCCGTTTGTTAAAAAAATCTTCTTGTTTTTTGTATATTTGGCTGTATGTTGCCGACCTAAAAATAAAGGAATCTTTTCATCATGTAACATATATTTTGCGAGAATCCAACATTTACAACATAGATTAATTCCACAGTCTTTGTTGATTAGTCAGGCAGGAAAATGAGGGTAACATTTTTCCGCCTGACTAATGGAATAATGAGTATGTACGTATATTGAGCACAACACGCCAATAAATCGAGTTTGCCAGCGATATATCACGACGGTGGCAGTTGAGCTGAGTCGACAAGAGGTTGCAAATAATGACGTCGTCGGTCGCGAGACGGGTACATACAATGCCTTCATTATGTCCTAGCGGCTTGCTGAGCCATTGAGCCCGCTGTTTGCGGGCTAATGGAAATAGACCATTGGCAATGGACAGTTGGTAGTGACACCCAGTTTATTCAAAGCAAACTTAAGCTTTGTGCTCCGAGATTTTATATTCGTCAGACGAATTCTTTGACTTGGCGTATTTACAACAGAGTATTATTTGGTTTGCGTTGCAATGCGTTTTTCTTTGTTCTTTTAGTTTTAGTATAGTGCAAGTACTTTTATTTACATTTAAGTCGTAAAAGATAACTGTAATGTAATCATATCAAAGAGTTGCCCGGTTTTGCAATTTAGAAGCAATTAAGAGCCGTTAAAGCCAATCTGGCTGGTTGCAGATGTGCAAGCTTCTCCATCATTCTCTCCAGTTCTTCACTGTACACATCTGCATTAATGCTTAGTGGGTAAAAAATTCAATTCCCGAGAGGCAGTACAAAATGCCTTTGAAGAGTTTGTTGCCTCCCGTCCAGCTGATTTTTACAAGAAGGGCATCAATAAACTGCCAATGCGTTGGCAAAGATGCGTCGTTTGCTTGGGTGATTACTTCGAATAACAGAAATATGTATATATATGTAAATGTGTTAATCCTGGTATATATACAATAAAGATAATAATATATCATTGCCTGTATACGTCTATTCGAAGTACAAATAGTACTGTATAAGAACTCTATCATTTATCCCCATAAATGCACCTACCTCACTCTTTCTCTGCATCGCCCAATCGGTCTACTGGCAGAGAATGTCTTAGGCATTAAGTCCGCCGATGCACACATTTGTGAATAAAGTCATAAATAAAATAAAATAAATAAATAAAATAATAACGTATTATCATGATGATTTATGTTTCATAAATCTGTAAAATAATTAAAAAACCTAAAAACTTTGATATTAGCTACTAAATTCATCTGCTGAGAGTAATATTTTTCGATTGCCTTATGCCTACACTATTTTACTGTTATGTATTAGGCCAAAACCTCCTTTCTAAGGAGAGGCCTATGTCCAGCAGTGGATTATTATAGGCTGTTGATGTGATGTGATGTGATGTATTATGATTGTTACATGCATAGAAGAAAATACTCTATTAATTTTATATATTTATGTTGTGTTGTGCAATATAACATTAACCACAAGCCTTAGATATACCTAAAAGCGGACTTGGCTGTAATGTGATACAACCATATTATACGTCAATATAATTGTACATGACAAGTAAATATAGCACCAAAACAAGAACATAGTACTATCATTTAGGAAAGAGATGTATGTACCTTTAAGTGAAATACGTACATCTGCGTCGGCTCATTTTGAGTAATCAAAGCTAATTTATGGAGATTATCCGTACACAACGTAAGCTCTATACAACGTTGCTGACTACGCATTCAATGCTCATTTCCGATGGAACCACAGAGGAAGAAGTTCTATACGTTTGCAATATAGACGATACGCACAGAGAATCGTGTACAATATGAAATATGAACCAAATTTTGTCAACATGCCTGGTTAAACGCAACGGATTTACTAAAATTAGATTATGATGATATGTCACAGGCACAAAATTGCAAACTTTCACGAATAATCATGCTGCAACTAGGTTTACTGAAAGAAAGGTAGCTAATAAATGGTCTCTGCAAAATACTCATCGTCATCATTATCTTCAACAACCTTTAATACTCCACTGTTGGAGATACCTACTATACAGCCATGGCCAGACAGGTTGGTTTAGTCTTCATCTCAAGTTTGCCTTCTCTTTGCAGTGCCGTATTCCCGGGTAGTTTGCTCTCTTAGAAGGCTTTTACGACACCGTCACGATGAATAGGGGTGGTGACAGTCCGTATTTTTAATCATTCATACCACACATATCACACGGGTGTCACGAAATCACTAGTTCGGGTGTGACCGTTGCAAGCTATGTATTATTGTATACATACTTTACTTAATATAGTATAATAACGAACGTACGGATAATTTCTTGGAACCAGGGTGTGATCGATGCGTTACTAGTTTCTTAACGCGAGTGGACCATAGTAGAAGAAAATCTCCGGGTACCGTTTTATAGTATACGTAATAAAAATATATGCAACTCCTTCTTAACTACTAGAAACGGTGCCTAAAGTTACTGAAAATACTAGAGCATACGTTAACATAATTATCTACCTTTGTGTCTGACTCCTAACTACCCATGACAATGAAATCTATTTATGTATGTATCATGCAAATTATCATTTTGAAGTTGCGCTTTTAAGTCAAAGGTAAACTTTTTTACGACTACTCGAATAGGTAAAGCAATGTTCTATCTACCTATTAACAAGTATACCAAATAGTCGAAGAAATTGTATATATTTTTAATAATAATAATATTTTATGGAAAGCCTTGTTACATTTCACAATAATTAAACGATAATAACTACAGTAGTATAAACTGTGTCAAAGAGAGAGTGTATTTTAAACGGGTTATTATAATTAAACATGTAGGATTTATATTCTAAAAAGAACATTTTCTATTATATTTTTAAGGTTGACATCTGTAAAGAAATATTGTACACCATAATGTCTTACAACATTTTTTACCAAGTAAATAAATTGTCGTCCCAAGCTCAGCCGGTAACGACCCATTTTTGTTGAAAAATATTAATTGGCCCTGGTTTTTATTGTGTAGAATTTTTCTACCTTACAATGTCAGGAGAAAAGAAAATATAATTATGAACCACATTTAAATGCGAACAAAAGCCTATAGACTAATGAACTTAATTTTAATAAGACTACCTTATTTAGTGCGTAGTTATTTTGTGTAAAAATATTTTAAAACCTATGTCCTACTGTAATATTACTCCAAAAATCTATAACCCTTTGACTTATCGGCCTTTGCTTTGCTGTGTCAACAATAAACCTATTTGTTTATCGTTAATCGTATGAGAGGAGCAAAATATTTTAGTTTCTCCGCAAAAAAACCTGTAACTGGTTGTATCATTATGATTACTCTTAAAAATATAATATAAATCTGAAATACAAATGTTATCTTTGTATTTCTGAGTTATATTATATATACTATATACGAGTATATGTATTATATAAACTCAAATCACAATAGAAAACAGTGTTTGTTTGCAACTTCAAATATTACAATACTTCTGAATTAAGATGTAAACACATAATTCTAGTCATTACATACCTTATTGTAATAATGAATTTTATAACATTATTTGTAGAGAGTCTCTATCACTCACAATTCTAATCATCATCATTCATAGTTTCAATCATTATCATGAAGAAGAATGTTTATTTGTTTCTCAAAACTTTGACTTTTATACGCCGCAAGTGAGAAACTATTTCTAAAACAGTTTTATTCCGTGTTTTAACGTGTC